CTCTCTCTCTCTTTCTGTATGTGTGTGCACACGTGCGCGCGTGTGCGCGTGTGTTTGTGTGTGTGTTTGTATGTGTGTGTGTGTATGTGTGTGTGTGTGTGTGTGTGTGTGTGTGTGTGTGTGTATACGTGTTTGTTAGTGAGTGTGATGTTACCTTTTTAAGAGCGTAGGAAGTAAGGCTCTTCCATCCAACTTATTAGAATTTACTGTGGACATGAGATTCTCATGATCCGCTGATCTCAATAGCTTGACTCAATAATGTTTCTCAGATTATGTTGTGCTTTGTTGTTCATGTAGCCTACTTGTAACATAAAATAGCAATTTTGTTATCGATTCTAACTGTAAGTGGTAGCCGATGTAACTTTATGAACAAAGGTGTGATGTAAAGGACAATGCCTCGGTTATCTTTTGACCAATTTCAATATGACAAAACTTTAAACAAATAGAATTTCAGGTGGCGCCACATTAATTTTGTCAATGTCAAAACAAACAAAAAAATCATCTAACTCGTTCGAAAAATATCAAGTTTACATTTTCAACTAAAATTGAGTGAAACACGATTATTGGCAACCAGATTACGAGGAAAATCAAAACAACAACAAAAGCGTTGATATTTTGTGTTCACCATTGTTAAGGGTTAAAGCGGTTTCTTTCAGTTTTTAAAATGTTTACGATGTTGAATATGGTAAACAAGTAAAATGAATTCAACTGCGTTGCTTGTTAAGATAACAGAAACTGGTCAACGATCGGCCTTGCTCGAGTCTAATAACGCAGTAAAAACTAACCCCCCACCACCACCACCACATCCACCCACAACATCTTTTATCCACCCAAAAATAAAATAAATTTAAATGTTCAACCTGGTTGTTGTTGTTTTTTGTTTGTTTGTTTGTTTTTTGCCTCCCTCACTCACAGTGAGAGGCAGATACAATGAGATAAAGAGAGGGGCGGCGAGACAGACAGACAGGTAGACAGACAGGTAGACAGGTAGGCAGATAGACAGACAGACAGACAAACAGACAGGCAGACAAGCAGATACAGACAACAAAATAGGGAGACAGAGTGACAGAGAGACAGAGATAAAGAAACAGACAGACAGACAGACAGACAGACAGACAGACAGACAGACAGACAGACAGACAGACAGACAGACAGACAGACAGACAACAGAC